TAAAAGCGTATACAAAAGTGAAGTATCAAAAGTAAGGCATTTCTTGGAAGTTTTCCTTTACGTGAGATAAATCAGCGATCATCTGGAATTAGTTGTCGATGCAGTAATCCAAAGAAATGGGTTTTATGATCACCTAGAAAACCTATTGATTGCTATGATGAATCTCAAGTGATCCTTTGTTTGGAAGTTGAGTTTCAGAAGAATTCTGAAAACCCAAAAGCTGAACGAATGAAACTAATAGTGATTTTGGCATTCTATCTCATACAGTCTAAGTAAGGCAAGCAACTTTGATGAATTGGCAAAATTATTTTTTCGCGGAGCCTCCACTGACTCAAAATATACTTAGTGCAGTACATGGGTAAATGACTAAAGTTGATGACATTATTGATAGTACGTTGTCGAATCTACTATATGTACGCTCATGGGGGAATGAGCAGTTAGGTTAGAGAAGTAATTAATTTCTGTTTAATTCTGTCTGTGGGGGAAAAGTTGCGATGATTTTATTAGTGCAACATTAGAGCCACTAAAATGGAGGCCAAATTTTGAAAATAAAGGGAAATATGCAGAGAAATACTGCAAATTCACAAAGAAAAAAACTCCGACCATATTTGGTGATATAAAATTGATACAATATTATATTAATATATTAATCCAACGCAATATTGTATTGAATCATTGTATTGATATTGTATGTTTTACTTTGGTTTCATTGATACAATATTAGAAAGCACTCCTTCTGCGGATATAACTGCGTGAGCTGATGAAGAGATTAAATCTTTTAATTTTTTGTTCACCAACTTTTTAATATATATATATAAGTTCAAAATGAAGAATAAAACAAAGAAAAATTCTAGACATATGAAAAAAAGGGGTCCGAGGTTAGAATTATTTACTAAAAATTCCTTTGCTAAATAATTTCCCTTGTTAATCTATACAGTTTTTCCNCCCGAGAGCTCGTGGAATTTACACAGGTGAAACCTGCGATGACGTAAACTGCCTATCTTAAACATCACAACTTGGTGCACTGGTAAAAATCCTCTTTAAGTGACAGCACAAAAACTTTTACTTTTTTGAGTATCCCCCATATTCCAAACATTTTTTTGAAGAAAAATTATTCAGCCGCACGCTCTCTTATTCAGTTGTGCACGGAATATCGTAGTATTCAGTACAAGGAAGTATGTTTCTCTCATCTCGAGTAGGCACAGAATCTGTTTTAGCGCTTATCAGAGAACTTCTCCTTTTTTTAGCATTCAAAACTTGACTTTATAGCTGCACGTATATCAAGTCACCCGAATCTATCCAACGGAATACCAAATGGAAGATTACAGATATTTTCTCCGGTCCTTCTTTTCGAATGCAAGGGGATAGTGCATCGGGGAATAGCTTTTGTTATGCCATAGTTTGAGACACCTCCGTGAATGTTAAATTGCGTTATAAGCTTGGAACGCCATTTAGCGTTGTTTCCAGTACGTGAGTGCTGCACCGTCTTATGGTTCACATGCATGCAATTTGATAGTTACCTTGTTTATGGAAGCTGTGCATTTTCATTGTTGGAGTCTCAGAAATGAAATCCGTAGAAATTTATTTCATTATTAGCATTGAAGAAAAATCTTGATGATTGATTATTTAAATTTCTTTCAACATCTATTCCAAAATACAATGTTTTAAAATCTAAAGATTTTTAAGGCAAATAATAGACCAGTTTTTAAATAATTAAAATGTAATAAGTCTAATTAAATTAAAATAGGAAATAAAATGTCGTAAGTCCATAGTTAAAGTGTATTATTAAGAAAATGTTTCTAACTCCTATTACATCTCAATTTTCAAGCAAGTTACTACACAGAGAGAAAAAAAATGACAAAATTACAGGCTGTACGGTAAGGATATTTCTGTTAAGAAAATCATAATTGATAAATCCATAATATACGGTTAATAAATCCATAATATACGGTTAATAAATCCATAATATACGGTTAATAAATCAATTATATACGGTTAATAAGCCCAAAATATACGGTATTTAAACCATTCATTTCGTAAATTTTCGTTCATATTATGATAATGGTTTATCGCAAATTCTGGTTCTCAAAATTATAGTTCTTTTAAGCACACGTTTAGTTAAAGGTACGAAACTGAAAATTAAATTTGACCAAATAAATGTTTTGTATACCTTATTCTAAAGTATTATGATAAATGTACCAAATTTTACCTAATTTACCAAGTTTTATCACAGATTATAAAACCATATTTCGTTGTTAAATTTACTAAAATAATTACCAAACAACTTCCGTAAAAATTGTCGAAGTTTTTAGTGTTCCAAAAAGCCAAGGATAAGGTAAATTATATCACATTCTGATAGTGATGACCCTACATTTTTTTTAGCTTATAAGTCCAATTAAATTTATGAATCTTATGAATTAAATGCATTTTTGACTTCGATTTGGGCAATTATCTATAGTTTATGTATATGCATGTATAAATCATCTTTAATGTATGTGTAAATCTTGCATAATGTAATTTATGTATAGTTCTAGTTTTTTTTCATAATTTTTTAATAAAGAACTTTAAACACTTGATGTACCTTTATATTTCACAGATACTTGCATACGTATATTTGAAATTTATTACTTTTATAATAGTACTTTTTTTAATTTCAAACTACACCCAACGACTATTTTTAATCTTTATGGAAATCTGTCCCAAACATTCGAATGTGTCTTTCCGAATGTGAACATTCAGTGGTAATGCGGGGAATTAAAATCCTTCAGTCCTGCAGATATAAGTCATAAAAATTGATTTTTCAATTTTTACGCTCCCTAGTTGAAACTTTTTCTCGTTATCGTCCCTGTAACTGTAACGTTGCAAAAGTAAACAAACTAATGGTGTTTAGTGATTACATCAGATTTTTAATCTAGTCGAGTGATAGTCTTGGAAATGATATTAAAAACGAATCAAGTATATTTATGATGACGTAAATTATTCAAAAAACAAGACGAACTCTTTCAGAAATAACGATGATTTCAAAACTGAATATTAGATTTATCAGGAAAAAAATATGCTATTAGTTCATTTCAATGAATATTAATCATCAAAGACACTATTTAGGAAAGAACATATTTTATATTTGCAAATGAAAGTTACATAAAAAAAAATTGTTTGGGCGGAAATTCTAATTTCTGAAGAAATTGGTCTTCTGATAAGAATTAAATGCAGCATTTCCACGTATTTGGGTTGGTATAGCAATTTGGTGTTTTTCATTAACTATTTAGAATGTTCCAGTTTTTTTCATAAATTCTAATTTAGATTCTAATTCAGTGATTTTATGGACTTTAATGGACTTTTTAAATGTACTTTAGCATTGAAAACTGATATTATTAAACTGTTTAAAGTCTAGACTATTGATTTTTCTATTTTCTTAATAATGGGACCTCGGAATTGAGACTTGGTGATTTGGAATTGAGAACTGACCTATGTCTTAAGTGCGTGCATTTAAATATGTAATTTATGGACGTTTAGGGCAACTATCCACACCACTCATCTTTTATACATCGGTTATATGGATCATGTGCAGACGAAGGCTTTTTTTCGAAGTTTTCACCTCACAAACATTATCACCTAATATTAAAAAGTGCAAATTTTAATATCTTGATGCATTGTCAAAAATATATCACGATATTTTACAATTAAATCAAATTTCTACATTGGTGACAAAATTTTTGTTACTCAAATAAAATTTAAAACCATTCACAATATTAAAGCATTCAATAATTATCACTTAAAATTATATTCCCGATATTGTCATATTCGGACAATATTGGGAATATGACGCACCTATGTTTATTATAAGTGGCAGTAGGCCTGCGGTAGTCAGAACCTGGCGTTGTTCTACTTGTTTGAAAAATTGGATTCCTAGTACCAATTACCGATAAGTACTATTTTTTTTACAAAGCTTACAATAATTTACAATATAGTTTACAAAGTTTACAATATTGTCCCCTAAAAGAAAACTTTTAAAGCACAATAGTATAAAGTTTTTGAATTAAGAAGTTGTGATCAAAAAAGATGTGAACAATTAATTATTGTTGAATTATAAAAAATTAAACTGAAGTGTTTTAGAATTATAATTGAATACATTTCAAAGCTTTCAAAATTCAAAAAAACGTTTGACTGGATTAGACTAAGCAGGCCGGGATAACCTGGTCGGTAGAGAGCTGGGCCCACGCCCGAGAGCTCGTGGGTTCGAACCCCACAGGCCGAAGACTCCGCGTGTAGTAAATGGTGACAGATGCACGTTAAATCTGTCGACTCGCAAAGTCCTCCATGTTCCCCTAACAAATCAATACCTCTGGGGGTACTGGACTGGAGATCGAAGTCGAATTCTTGGCCATAGATGGCTCCATTGACAAACAAGAAACGCACACTCTGCCTTAAATCTGCTTGGTTTCATCAAGCAGGCTTAGTGTGGCAAGTAGCATTAGAAACAACAACAACAGACTAAGCATATTTATGTTTAACGTTACCACTAGCGACGATATGTAATATTTATTCTATTTTCGGTAACGTATGTTGGCCACCTTATTTGTTTCTAGCATACTTTACTTCTGTAATTAAACTAAGAGTTAGACGAGCTTTAGGAATATTTAATTCTTTTAATGGTTAGTTTTGTTTCGATTTTTTTTAAAAATATTTTGTGAAAATACTGTTTCTATGACAGCACCCATCATAATCTATTACAAAGGTTTCCGTCAACGAAATTTCGTATTTTCGGTACCTTGCCCAAACCACATAATGACGGAAAGAGCTGATCGCTTAGAAAACATCCAATGAAAATTCGCAAACTACTGGAGAAAAAAAAAACACGATCCAAATCAGTGATCCCGTTCTCGAGTTATTAGCGATCATACATCCTGGCAGATTTTGCTTTTTACATTTTAGAGATATAAATGATAAACGAGAAAAATTATACATAAATAATACATAAGTAGACATTATATATGTACCTTTCATTTTCTAAGGAATTCATTCTATTTACACTGCTGATCAATTCACTGCTATTTTCTGAGGCATCTTCAATATGAGATTTCGATAAATTTGGATTAGAGTTCAGATCTGTAATAAATACAAAACATTAAAATACAACATTTTATCTATCATAGATGATAAAACAAATAATTTGGCTTGATATTTTATGTTAACACTTTTTACATAATTGAAGAAATTTTTGCGATTTTAATCTGTTGCGATTTTGATCCCTTTTATTTACATATGAATAGCACTGAGTTAAGTCAATATATTGTAAAAAACTACTGCTTTTAATAGTAGTTTTTTACAATATATTGACTTAACTCAGTGCTATTCATACTATCATAGTGCTATTCATGCTATGTGCATACATAGCATGAATACTATTCATGCTATATACATATAGTGCTCAGTGCTATGCATAAATAAAATACACAAAAAATAAATAGTTTTTTTTATAGGTTCTGGAAAGGATAACTGTGGCGTTGAATGAATATATTTAGTAGCATTTTCATCCGTCTTTCTTTAATTCGTCGGGAAGAAAAATCGTCGGATGAGAAAAATCGTCGGGAACTGCATGCAGAGTCGAACGTCTCATAACCATTGCTCACTCAAGCACGTAAAGCAGCGCGACTTCAGTGGGCAAGAAATCACCGGACGTGGACAATAGCTGACTGGCGGGATTTAATATGGTCTGAGGAATCACGTTTTCGCCTTTATTCAAAAAAATGCTCTTCGTCGAATGCTACAAAGAGCAGATGAAGCATTTCATCCTGACTGTGTGCAAGGTCAATATGTTTCGGGTACGTTTTCGACTGGCCTTCAAAATCACTTGACTTAAACCCCATTGAAAATCTGTGGGACATATTGGAAGAACGGGTGAAGCGTCGAAATCGGCATCCTCGCAATTTGGTGGATTTGCGCTATCAAATCCTCAGCGAGTAGCTTATACTGGATTCGACGTACCTGCAAAACCTCGTGGACTCGCTTCCTAACCGAATCCAGGTGGTTATTGAATCCAGAGGCGGTGTTGCACGCCATTAAATGATGTTTTTCATGATTTTCTTGAGGGTGACTAATTTTTTGTCCGGTGTGTTTACTTTTTTACCGTTAGTATCATTTTATAACAAAGAATTTTCCCTAATTACAGTGAAAAACATTTCTAAGGATTGTATTGAAAAATATAGCAAAATCACATTTTTTTTTCTTATCGTGTCTATTCTTAATTTAATTCCAATAAGAGATTATATAAGGTTCTTCATTCCCATAAGAGATTATATAAGGATATTATAGTTTATAATTGGAGATAGACAAGTAAATTTGACATCTATAATAAATGTAATACTTTATAAAAATTTAATGTTTCCAATATATTCAATATATTTAGCACATAATTTGAGTTACACACTGAAGTTGAATCTACAAATGTAACGAACAATTGTCCCTGTAACAGGACTTTTCATGCATTTTTATTTTAGTAAAAAAAAATTAAGAAATGTAAGGAAAGAATAATTAACTATTGTATGCATGTAAGGCATATAGAACTTACTATCATATTTAACTATTTAAAAAATTTACTAAGCATGCAATATGGTACACAACTGTAAATTCTCATTGTTGTTTAAAAAAATAGAGCAAATATGAATTGCACAGATTCTACTCTTTTGAAAACTAAATCTCTATAATTTAGACTATCAAAAACTACAGTTTTCATGAAATGCAGCTTATAATTAGTCGCTATTCTTATAGAATTTAACTAGATGCTCTGTTTTATCTAGTTATAATTACTAACTATTAAAATTACATTAAAGAATAAAATAATAAACCCCAATCTTATTAAAGGAAACTGGTAAACAAATATCACGCTAATTCGTAATGAAGATGCACTGTTGCGTGCTATTCAGACATTCTCCAATAAAACCAGTTAAATAAATCTACCGAGATACTACAACAGAAGAAGAACAATAAAGAAGGTTTTCTTTTTCAAGCTTCCAAATTCTTCTAATAAAGCTACTAATCAAATGAACGCCTAAACAATTAGTCTAATTAATGCTGCTTTTAAGCATTTGCTGTTCCTATAACACAAGGCTGTATTTATTTATTACCAGTTGAAGTCAATCTCCATATTTTTAATACTACATTTCTTAGATGCATGCAGCTATGTTTGGATAAGCGACAAAACAAAAGAAAAACCGATAAAGCAAGTAAAACAATAAAAATATGTAAGTTTTGTCTTGTTTCGATAAGAAAAACTGAAATCCTACCTGCTTAATTTCAGTAATTGCAGCCCAAGTTGAAGAGTAAATTAAAAGTTTAAAAAAGAAGACTCTTTGAAATGATTAGAATTATTTAAATATAAATTATGCGAAATATGAATCCTCTGAATTTATATTTAATAAGATGCATTAAAAGTAATGTTGCTGGGTGATACCATGGTTCATCCAGTATGTGGTGTATTAAATTAATTAATAAAATTGTTAAAAAAATTATTTTGTACGTGTGCATTTGTGTTTAAAATATCTAGTTAAAAATCTGAATTCATTAAAATTTACTTATTTGTGTTCTTAAAACTTGGGTTGTATGATTTTTGTGTATCCCTATAACGTGAAATATTTAAAAACACCAGCTACTGTTTCTCCTGCGGTAAGAACCATATCTTTTTATCTATATTTATTACATTATTTGTATCTGTAAAGAAACAATTCCGATATACGTTCTAATTTTTTCGCAAAACAGGAAATAAAGTATGGTCAAAACTATCAGAATATGGTTTACCGTGTTTCTGGCTCTATGGAAGCATAAAAAAAGTCATTAATTAAAAATGATTTTGGTAAAATTAACAATAAATTATTATTTTTTAATGAGTAATAAAATGAGAAATTTGAGTTCTTATTTGTGTTCTTAAAACTTGGGTTGTATGATTTTTGTGTATCCCTATAACGTGAAATATTTAAAAACACCGGCTACTGTTTCTCCTGCGGTAAGAACCATACCTTTTTATCTATATTTATTACATTATTTGTATCTGTAACGAAACAATTCCGATTTACGTTCTAATTTTTTCGCAAAACGGGAAATAAAGTATGGTCAAAACTACCAGAATATGGTTTACCGTGTTTCTGGCTCTATGGAAGCATAAAAAAAGTCTTTAATTAAAAAATGATTTTGGTAAAATTAACAATAAATTATTATTTTTTAATGAGTAATAAAATTTGAAATTTTATCATGCCACCTTAGAGCATGGCCTAAAAAATATTCAATGAGTTTTACTTTTCAGTTTTGAATTTTAACTACATATGTGGTAATAAATATTATAATTTTAAAAACCAGAATGTCCGGTAAAACTTCGAAATACGAATGAAAAAAACTTCCAAATGAATGGTTTAAATACCGTATATTTCTGTTTTTCTATCGAGATTTATGATTTTTTTCAACCAAAAATGTTATTAATTTTGCTATGAATTTTCTCCGTGTTTTAAAATTCAAATATAAAAATGAAAAAAAAAATATTTAAGAATATTTCATCAAATATAAAATGCAAATACAAGTATCTAATAGCAAGTTTGTACTATTTTTAAAATGTTGTTATATTTCCCACTACATAATAATACTAAAATTTTATTTGCTTGTTTACATCCCATGAACAAGTTATTCCAGAGACAGTTCTCTTATTTCCCTTTTACATGTAATAACTTCGCACACTCTCATCAACTTAAATGTTTATTATTCGTATTAAGTTCCCAGACGCCTTTCCCATGTTGTAATCTTAACCACTAGTTTACGGAATAAGGTATCTTTGCCGACAGGGCTGCGGAAGATCATACGGCAGCAAGCTAATGGCCCACTTTTCACCCCACTATGTCAGTGCTAATAATGCCAATTAGTTTGGAGACTACGTAAACTACTACGTCATTTGAAGACAACGCATTGTTAACAGCAGCTTGATTTCCCCCCTTTTAAAATAAGTTGGCCATTTACGTAATAAACGAGACGTTACATTGTATTATCCGGCTAGTTTATTTCAGCGTAAACAAGAAACTCGATTTAAAGTGCATAATGAACTATTCAATGATTGCTGGCAGGCATTGTCTTTCAGCAGCATTCTATGATTGAAGACCATTATTGAAGTGTTTGAAAGGCGGACTTTGAATGCATTTGAATTGAAGTTCATATAAATTGTAACTTATTAGCTACATTAGAAGAAAAGTTGGTTAACGAAGCTTATTATATTAGACTTGGATTTTAAATAATGTTTTGACGTTTGCTTATAAATTGAAAATAGCTGTGTACATTTTAAATTTGCTTATTCTTTTATTTCAGATTAATATTTAAATGAACATTTGTTATTATTTATAAATGAATATTTGCATCGATTTTATTTTTGCCATTTTACTGATATAAATAAACATTTATTTACAATTATTATTTTTTATTTATTTCTAATAAATTTTTTCTAATAACATTCAAAGAACTTATTTTATTAATATCTAATACAATTCTAATTATACATTTTCTAATAAAATTAAAACAAGACTTGAGCTTTTTCTTACGGTACGCTGAACAAAGAATCCGAATCAAATTACATTACAAAGAACCAACAATTTTGGTGCATCAACCATTAAAACCATTTTACCGAAAAATCTACTTTTAGCATAAAATCAACTTTTAACGTAAAATCAACTTTTAACGTAAAATATATTTTTACCGAACTTATTTAATTAAAATTATTCAGTGCTTTTTCAGTAATTATTACTGTAAAAATTACGGAATATCAGAATTTTTGTTCCAAAATATATTTCGATTAAAAAGGATTATACGGCAAAGTGTACCGTTCAAATGTGCTGGTACTTTTTACAGTAATTTGATCCGTAATTTTTTGCAGTGTGCAGTTGGTCATGATATAAGCAAGTGTTATTTGTTAGGCATACACCATTGAAGATTATATGATAACGATTTTAATGGTATTAAACTTTAAAAAAATGGTTTAATTAATAAGAGCTTACACTGTAAACAAATTTTTTAGAATTAGAGAAAGAAACTATCAGCAGGCGTGTTGATATAATTTATTTTGCCAAAAAAATATTGTTATTTAAAAACAGTCTCCTGTTTTTTAAGCAGACTAGTAATGTTATTTTGTCAAACATTCTCCGTTATTTTAATTAGCCACTTAACTGTTTTTTCGAAAAAATAATCTATAAAATAAGTATGTCCTTTTTAAGACAAATATTCATAAAAAATTTTAAGTACTATAAGAACGAAATTTGAAAAACTTGAAATTTGAGAAAAACTTTTAAATTTTGATGCCGTAATGAAATTTTCAAAAACGTTTGATTTAAGTTTATCCAGAAATTATTTGTTTAAATATTTATGAAGCCTATAAATAGATTTTTCACTTGCTTCGATCTTTATTTATAAGAGTATCTTACGAAATGATCCAATAAGAAACGAAAGACTTTTGAAGTTAGAGCAAGTGTTATAAACTTAGTATGTACGTTTTTCATGTCTTTTTTTTCTCTTTTTTTGTCATTTATAATAATTTTCCACGTATTTGAAGATTTATGAAGGATTTTTAAGATTGTTTTACCGATATCTTTCGAGATTTGTTTATTTTGTACTCTGAGAAAAAATTATCAAAAACACTAGAATATGGTTAAATTAATAGTGTTTCTGGCTCCACAGGAGCGCCAAAGGTCTCGGTAAATTTTTCTGAAGCTCTTTGGAAATGGTTTGGTAAAATTAACAACATATGGTTTTATAATAAAGGATAAGATTTCGAAAATGTAGTAAAATATCATAATTTCATCATGATACATAAGAGCAGTGCAAAAAAAACTGTCTATTCGAGGAAATTAACTTCACAGTTTGGTATTTTTTTCTTTTTAATCAAATGTCTGGTAAAGTATTATAATTGTAAAAATCAAAATTTTCATTTAAACCAAATTAATGGTTTAAATTTTATATATATTGTTTTTTTATTACCAGAATTGTGTTTTTTGTCGGAATGTCAGGTCAAAATTGAAATCAAAATGTCTTATATCAGAATTGTCATGACCATACAGTAAGATAATTTTACTAGAATTTTTTTTTTCTGCACAGGTAAAAACTATAATTGCAACCGCGTCTGTGAATAATAGTATTCAGTAAAAAAAGCTTCATTGACTCCTGCAGTTTTTAAGTCCGGTGCAAGGATTAAGAGATTTCTGATTTTATACTCGTTAAATAATCATTAGCATTTTTGGAGCTATAAATCATTTTTACTTAAAAATCTCAAGAAAACCCACGTTATGATAATTTATTGAGCCATTTTTCGTAATGAGTACTAAATCAATGATTCCAGTTTATGTGTTTCAGTTTAGATTTATAACTGTATTTTTTGAACTAAATGTGTTCAAAATAGTAAACGTTTTTATAACACAAAAAGAAGTCGCGTAAGTACTAAAAACGTATCAGAAAATGCAAAGCAACAAAATTTGCCAAGATAATGATTTTCACTCTTTGCTAAAAGTACTCTAATTGAATATTTTAGCGTAAAACATAGGGTCGCACAACAATAAACATTTACACTGGGGGAAAATTCGGAAAGATGTTAAAACACAACAAAAGGTAGCTTAGTATTTTTTACTTCAATTTGTTCGTAACTATCGAAAAATAAATTCAAAAATACGTTTTGTTAAGAAGTCCTTTCTTTCCTAGATGGTCGAAAACCTTTTAAAAACCTGAAATTATTTTCTAAATTTGCTTAAAAAGTTTACAATGAAGCAATTTCTAAGAGTTATTTTAGGGTTTGGGGGATGTTAATAATAAGTCAAATTTCAAAAGTTATAGGGTAAGCATATTTTTTAAATTTTGTTTTTGGAAAGCCTCCAAATTACCATGTAAGCTATTATATATTTTTTTGTATTGCACTCTGAACTCGTGGAAATTCTGGAGAATTTATAAATACTTTACTGAAACAGAAAACAGAAGAGTTTACATTGGAACAAGCTTTTTCTTCCACTAAAATACTTCAATCTTTTTAATTTAAATTGTACTGTATAAAGGAACCATACGTTTTGTTTGCTTAAATCAAGTAAAAAACAGCTCTTTGATGATAAAAAAAACTTAACAAATGTTATATAATTTTCAAAGTAAAATTAGTTTCTGCTGCTAAATTTCCTTAGTGCAAATGATTAGGCTGAAAAGAAAAGTATGGTAAAAACGAAAAGAATATGAGATAAATTACTATGTTTCTGGCTCAATGGGATCACCAAAAAACTTGTAAATTTTTACCAAAATGATTTGGTATTGAATTTAGTAATATTAACAATAAAATATGGTTTTATAATATGTGATCAAATTTGATAGATTTAATAAAATTTGGTAATTTTATCATGATACTGTAGAGCATGGTAAAAATACACTACTTATTCAGTTAAATTTAATTTTCAGTTTTGTATATTTTTACTAAATGCGTACTAATAAGAACTGTAGTTTTGAAAACCAGAATTTGTTGTTAAACTATTGTCATATGAAAGGGAAAAATAAAATACCAAAATCAGTAGTATATTTTTTTTTAACCGGAATTATGCTTTTTTTCTAGAAATTACATTACAACACACTACGGCAATTTTACAAAAACTTTTTTTTCTCTATCTAAAGTAAAATAATATATACGCAAGAGTGTCTGTAATTAATAATCCTTAGTAAAAAAATGATTCATTGACTCCAAAGATTTTTAAATCCAAAGCAAACATTAAGAGATTTCAGATTTTTATGTCTTCAAATAATCGTTAGTATTTTGACAGCTAAAAATAATTTTTATTTAAAAATTAAAAACAACAACCTCGTAATGATAATATATTGAGTCCCTCCTCTTAAGGAGTATTAAACAAACGATTCCAGTTTCTGTGCTTCAGTACACATATGTATTCCTGTATTTTGTGAACGAAATGTCCTTTAAATAGTAAAAGTTCCATTATAAGTCTTTTATTAAATGTAGAAAACCTTTTTAAAAACTTGAAATTCTTTTCAAAATTTGTTTACTTTTATAACAATTTTATATTATAATTGTTTTCAGAGATATTTAAAGGCTTGAGGAACAGAAATAATAAGTTAATAATAAGTAAAATTTTAAATTTTTCTGGAGAGCGTACTATATGAATTTTATTGTTGGAAAACATTATAATTCTCCTGTAAGCATTTATTTCATTTATTTGTATTTCCAGCTAGTTGAAGTTCTGAAAACTTATATATACTTTTGTGGAGCAAACAACAGAAAGTTCCATTTCGCTAAAAAAAACGTGTGTTTCACTGAATTGTTCAAGATTTTTAACTGAAAGTGTACTCGCTTTAAAGATACTATATATTTAAGGGTGTTATTTTTTGCTTAAATAATAAGCAACTCTATCAAGACAAGGAAATCTTATTAATGCTTTTTAGTTTAATAAGTAAAATTAGTTTGTGCGACTTATTTTTCCTAAGTCAAGCATTTTATTCGATAAAAAAGCAGTTTGCTATAAACTACCGGAATATGGTAATATTTACCGTGTTTCTAGCTCTTAATGAAATCCAAAAAAGCTTGGTAATTTCTAACGAAGTGCTGATTTAGGTAAAATTAAAAGTAAAATATTGTTTTATAATAATTGAAAATTGATAAATGTGGCATACTTTGGTAATTTTATTATTATACCTTAGACTATGGTATAACAACCGTGTATTCACTTTAACTTCTTTTTCAGTTTTTTTTTCTAAAAGTGTGGTAATTAGAATTATACGTTAAAAAACCAGAATTTACAGTAAACCGTTAACATGTAAATGGAAAAACTGCCAAATAAATGGTTCAAATACCATATACAGTCAATTCGCTATAACTCGAATATTACTATAACTCGATTTTTTATGAGGTCCCGACCCTTTTATCTTCAATTTCATGTTAATTATTCTCGATTAGTCGAATTTTACTCCCTTTAACTCGTTTTTTTTGGATCTTTTGAAGCAAGAAAACAAAAACCTAGGAGCTGATATCTTGTCCCTTCCTTTGTAACACACACACACACAATATTGCCTTTCGCACTCTTCATGGAGAAGCTAAAGCTGTCCCTCTTGAAGTATGTGAACAGTGGTTAAATGAAACGTTACCAAATTTACTTCAAGGATACAATGAAAATGNAGAATTATGGTCAAAAGCATACAGTTCGGTAATTTCACCGGAATTTTTTCTATCTTTTTATATAAGACAGGAATTTTATTTGAGCCCATAATATGCGTATGTAAAGACATAACGATAATTTTAGCAAAAAAAAAGTTCACATTTACAATTTAATAACATTTAATTTACATTTAAATGCATTTAAATATAGTTTTCATTATACGTTTTTCATTTACTTATCTTAACTGTAAAGAGAAGTTAATGGGAGACACAGCAGCTAAGATAAACTTTTTTTAATGTGGTAACTGTTTTCAAAATTTCCAAACTATTTTTATCATCTAGTTGAGGAGCACATTTTTATGAGCGCAATTTAATTTTGATCAAATTTTAAATGATGCATTTTTAAAATGAAAATATACCTTGTGAGGCATAGGCGTTCAATGTTGATGTTAGCATAGTGGGTAAGTAGGGTGGTTCTGATTCACATTCACTTTCTAAATATCCTAAACGTGCTCGTCTACCTAAGGCTTCCATCGGATGCATTCCGTTCATACTGCGTGGTGGTACTGCTGGGGGTGCTGGTTCTGGAGGGCTTTCCCCAAAAACTAAATTAAAAATAAATACAACAAAGATTATATAGAGTGTCTCTATGAGTTATTTAAAATTAAGCAAATTAACATAGTTAATATAAGAATAACAATAATATATTAAGAGTATAACAACATTTAAATATTGTACAAAAATTATAATAAGCTTGAATTTGAAACTACCGTTTCAAGCAAAACAGGCATTTCGTAAGCAAAAGTTAATTCCTCCATTTTAATTGATATTTTCAAAATCATAATTATTCTGAAGGAAGAATTTAAAGAACCACAACTTTAAAAAATGGGAGAAGTTTGGGAAATTTTGAACAACGAAAAGATCAAACTCCTTAAAATGTATAATTTTAGTCGTTGATTTTGTTGCATATATCGGTTGTTTAACAACACTAAATTAGGTCTATGAAATCTGTCACTCTAAAGAAGTATAATACTAGAATTGGGTTGGTGAAAAGATCTTGTCTGGAAAGCTCTATACAATCTATTATGTGGTAAGGGGTGGCCTGCTGGTCGGCACACTTCACACGGGATGAGAAAACCTTTTTTCCATTGGAGTAAGACATAGATCTCTAATGTCCACTGATAAGCTTGATGATAGCCGTCTGTACCCGCCTACAAAAGTTGAGTGATAAAATCCCCACTCCCCAGAGCACTTTCCCTGGTACCATTGGTGAGCAAGTGGGATGGTTTAAGATGCATTATTTCAGGCGTGAAAGAATTATTTATATTTGTTGTATTTTCCCATGTTAATCACAATTTTCGAAGTAGTATAAAATGGATTTTATAGCATTGAATGATATTGTTGATATGAATACATGACGGATTAGATATAGATTAGATTATTACGGATTAGATATACCTTAAATTGCTTAATTTCGTAGACCCAATTTTATTTGTTATCTTACATTCAGTGAGAATTTAGCTTAAAATTCTGAAAATTATCATTTATATGAAAAATAGAGCTTTCAAGAAAAATCTAGATATCATTCGTAAAAACTTAGCATTTTTAAAGACACTTTTAGTAGCATAAATATTGTTATTTTTTTAAGCGTAATTTATTTTTTGTAGTTTCATAAAATATGTCAAATTTCAATTAAAAAAAGCTTATATATTTTTTCTATTAAAAATGAATGTGCATTCAAGGCTCAAAATTTAAAACAAAAAAAATTCCTTTTAACGACAATTAAAAAAAAAAAACAATTTAACCGAAAAATGGCCTTTTTAAAAGAATTTCAATAGCACAATTATTGATTTTTGCTACAGAAAAAAAGATAACTTCATCTTCTTAAAAAATTTTCAAAAATATCCTCAATTTCAGAATAATAAACGAAATTCCGAATTTTCTAAAATATCCTAAATTGCAAGCTCCTCTTTCATATATAAATGAAACTATTCATTATATGATAGAAAGTCGAGACAGTAATCGAGGCTCTATTTTCCTGTCACAAATCAGAAAAAAGGATATCACTTTCAGGAATAATAAAACCAGAAAAATAGAAAGCTACTTATTTCACTGAATAGACTAAAATGGCAAAACTACAACTTTAATTATACATTCATTTCTTTCTGCTAAAAAAAATATGCTTTATTTAGTAATTTCTAATTTTACAATATTTGTTTACCATTTTATAACCAGGCAACGCAATAAAGCTCGCTATCATTCAAAATCGTCAGATTATAAAATCATTTTTAATCTTTCATTACATTTTGAAAGATATATAGCAAGTTGCATATATTTAAATAAATAAGCACCCCTGCATGAATATTTTCCACACTTCTAGCTTTTGTTTGCATTTAAAATGGTAGTTTTAAGCATTAAATATAGAAAAGGGATTATACTAATAGGCTGCATAATTTTGCTGGTTATATGTTTGCTAGTTAATAAAAATTCGGCATTTTGTAAATATTTCTTCCACTTTTCCTGATATATCATTTCGGGTGATTTTATTCCTATTTATAAATCCATTTCGAATTCTTTAACTCAGAAAAGTGTTAGAATTTCTGTTAATTATTTATGACACATAGGGTAAGCACGTGATGCTTTCTATAGTAAGAAAAGGTGGAGGTAAACGTTTTTTTACAGAAAGAAAGTTTTAGTCTTGGTGACAAGATAAAAACTAAACATTACTAAAACTAAACATCTTCTCATTAAAGGATGAAGATAATACCAAACAAATTACTAACAATAAATGGCTTCTCTTTGAAACAAAATGATAATTTCATACAAAAATAATAAAACTAAGCAACTACTCATTTAAAGATAAAGATACTACCAAAAAATATTACTAAAGCTAAACAACTTTTCATTAAGGGACGATAGGCAGGATAACACCAAAAAAAATTACTGAAACTAAGCAGCTTCTCTTTGAAAAAAATGATAATTTCAAACAAAGTTACTAAAACTAAACAGCTTCAAAGATAATTCCAAACAAAACTACTAAATCTAAACAGGTTCTCATTAAAAGATAAATATAATACCAAAAAAATATTACTAAAGCTAACAGCTTTTCATTAAAAATTAAAGATAAGATCAATCAAAATTACTAACACTGAAGAGCTTCTTTCTTGGAAAAAAATTTTAATTTCAAACAAAAATACTAAAACGACTAAACGAGTTCTCATTAAAATTTCATCACATTCAGGTTATAAAACAATGTTATGCTTTGTTTCAACACACATAAATTATAACAGTGAGTTTTAGACTTAAATTTGCAGAGACACATAATTTCATTGGAAAAACTTAAAAATCAAATTTTCTTCAAAACCTTTCTTCTTGAAACAAAATCTTACAAGACCATCTGATTTGCCCATTAATGATTAAAGTTAAAAGTCCTTGCAAGTACTACTTTCAACCAAATGAGATTACTCTAAAATTTATTAAACAAAAGGCATTGTTAGTATTTTCTGATATCTGGGCTCGCTTTCAAAAACTAATGTTCAACAAGTGCCTGAGTGTAATTCTTTTAATATATTACACAGGGGAACAATTTTGCATTTGTTTTTTGAGGTATTCAATTTTTTAAAGAGATCTTGGATATTTTTATGTCATTGATTTCAAATTTGCAATCAGTTTCTGCTTCAAAGCTACAGTTTTATAAATGACCTTTTCTATTTTTCTAGATTCTATTTTTGCGTAAGTAAAAAAAAAAAAACGTTGCATATAATTGGGAGTCGTGTAAATATAACAAGATCTTTGTTTTAGATATTACAGAACGTTACATATGAAAGGGGGTCACGTAACAGCTGCGTATGATGGCATTTCCAGGAATGGGTTCCTATATGCAGTTTTAAACCTAATGATGTGCCCTATCACTCTTGGAAGTTCGTCGCAACCTTTACATGTCCCACTGCATGATATGACGCTTTTACACTTCGACATCGTACATTTCGACAAAAAGTAGACTAAAATTTCATTTTAAAAAATTTAGCTTTAGGAGCATAACTAATTTCTGGTATTAAATCCAAACACTTGACCTAGGCAAAATCAAGTATTAGTATAAATACAACAAAAAATTATCTCCTAGTATAATCAATGTATTTGAGAAACAAGTGTTATTTAGTTTTCCGAGTGTGTGATTGCATTGAATTAAAATATGTAAAAATCAATTACATAGAAACAATAACCATAATATTTTATTGCAATCGAATTTGGTAAATGATTACTTTCATGAATAGTATGCTTACTACATAACAAAATTTACTACGGAAAACTGGGAGGTATTTAATAGCAGTTATATATGTATTGAATATTTTGCTAATAGTTGTTTTAAAATTCAACAAACTAAAAATAATACGCCAAATTAATCGTTTGCTACGATAATTTGAAAGATATTTGTATAGTTTCGTTGAATAGCATTCAAATGTTTATAAAAATAATATTGCCCAAAAAATATTACTGATAAGTTCGCTCCAAATCGCTAACTACAACATTGCAAATTCAGTTTGGTTACAAATGTTTATCAACGTTAGTCACTTTTTTAGTACGTGTATAACAAGTGAAAAAATAAAATTCTTTCGTAACGTTTTTCGATACCATTTATTTTTAAAACCCTTAAAATACTTCTAAAGCCAGCTAATAGTAGAATAACATTTAAAGCGCGCAAAGAATTTTATTCCCAACGTGATTGAGGTAAGAAGAAAAAACATCAACATTGCTTCTGTTTACGTTGAGAAACAAGTTAAGAGGGCCTTAAAACTCTTAGAAAACTTTTACGCCTACAGCCAGAACAAACACTGTATTCCCATTGGATGTTCAGGTTGTGACGACATTTTAATGGAATAAATGAACCGTTAAGATTCCCGGCCGTCAAGGGATATTTAAGAGAATATCCTTGTGCCCTGGGTTATATTACAGCACTTTTCCACTGCACGTAACCCACAAAAAGAAGAAATTTTGCGTGTTATCCTTGTCCTCACAGCTGATAAGTTTGCTTTAGAAAATGGATGGCTTGTTTTTAAACTCGGGAGGCCAAGCCTAAAATTTGATCAAGAACTTTTAAAGAAGCTATTTTTTTCTTCATATTTTACCTATGTGTACAGTTTTATTTAAAAATGAATTAGAATTTTCTTTCATAAATATTAAAAACTTATAGTGAAGCAAATGGGCGGTAAAATGAGTAAATATCGGTTTTTGGAAAAAGAGTCATATAACGATGTAAAAATATTAGTTCCACAATCCACTATTAAATATTAAACATTAAAAATTAAATGTAAAAGTGGACTAAAGTATTTTATATCAAGAAAAAAGAAGTAAAAAGCAGTAAGGAAAGGAGAAGAAATCAAAAATTTTAGTTGCCGAAAAGCCTGTCAAAGACAGACGCTTTATGAAACAGAAAAACCCATTAAATGTAACGTACCGCTTACCAATATATATA